TTTTTTTTTTTTTTTTTTTTTTTTTGCAAATATTGGTCTGTAGTGCCTACCTGAAGCTAATAGTTTGCTCAGTTTGTGTTGTGTCCAGGATGTGTGAGAATGCAAAAATGTTAGCTACCTTTGTCCTGACACTAAGCCTAATGATCCTCTCTGCAAACCTAATTGTTCATTGCATTTTGATTCTGTCCTTTTTGTGTGGTTTGGCTCAGCCACAAGCGATTGTTCATGGATCAGACAGAATATGACCAGCTGCTGTGCAAGGTTGCTGCAGGAGGTAGAGTCTCTGTTGGGCCATCTTATGAACAGTATCTACGTGAGGACCAGCTCAAGTCCTGAGAAAGGGTCGTTTAGGGAAAGTCCATCCTCATCGCTAAAAGATGCATAAATATTTGCAAGCTTTTATGAAATAAAATGTGAAAACTGTGTAGTGCATTTGGATTGTGCCTCTCCTGAGTCGAACTCTTTAGTCCTACAAGTCTATCAGATTTTCTAGTCTTGCCATAGATCCTGAGTTGTACTACTATTAGTTTTGCCATACTGCCCAAAGAGAAGCAACTCAAAGCGTGATGATGCTATTACCATGTTTAATAGGTGGATGGATTGTGTGTTCATGTGGCCCGTTTCAAACTGCAAAGGGGAACTTCTTGTGGTTCTCTTTCTGTTCCCAGACGATAGATTAAGCAGTGATCAGTGAGATGCCAGGTTACTGTTTTATAAGCTGTCTGTGGTGTTTCAGATTATGCAATATTTTGTGTCTTAAATTCCAAATAAATTAAACTAAGTTTGTGGTGGAGAAATGTAAAAATCTGAAAACATTTCAGTGGTAAGTGAATAAGTTTGCAAAGCACTATATATTGCCTATTTATTGCAAGAAAAAGGAAATTCAGCAGCTGTGAGTCTTACTCCTCACCTTCAAAGTGACTTCTTACCATTTTTTTTTTAACCAACGGTGACCTTTTATTGCTTAATCACAAACTGGTTTATTAGTCTGAAGGCTCCTCTGGCATTGTTTTAGCCTGATGTCAAAATTTCCCCCCAACAACTTCTTTTGTCGTCCTACAATCATCTCTCTCCACCTCGTTATCAACAAGCGTCTAATTAGCTGAGTGGCTGTTTTCGTCTCCCTGGTGGTAATAATTGTTCTAAAGGGCCCATCAGCGGCCTAGTGTGGTGCATCAGTCTGGCTAGCCTAGGCTAATGGCTACGGCTACCTAATGACACCATTAGTTCTAATGATAGCGTTAACGGGTAGCCGCTAAACAGGAGTAATCGCCAGGGCTGTTTGCTTGAAAAGCTCACAGAGGGCTGTAGAGGGGTAGAAATGAACGGAGGAAGAGAGCTGTTCAGAGGTCTGTGAGTAGTTTGGAAAGTTGAGTGTTTTGTTTCCTTCTCTCCTTAGGGCATGTGCAGCTCACCTACTTTTGTAGTTGGTGTGATGTGGAGGAATCCTGTGACAAGGAGGCAATGGCCAATATGTACTGTGCACCAGGTGAGAGACAAAAATGTTTTAACACTTCCTGAATTACTCATCATAAGCGCAATGTATTTATTTATTTTTTTTGGCTACTTTCTATCGCTCATCAAGCTCTCAATCAGAGCAATCTGACCAGATGCAATTCATTCAAGGTTCTCCCTTTCAAGCATAAAGTAAATATTTAGATTTTCAAATAATCAGTATTATTTTTGGACTTTCTTAACAATATAATACATTTTTAGATTTCTGATAAAGCAAATACATCAGTTTTTAAAAATATTTGGGTTGTTTTTCTTTGCCTATTTTTTTTTTTTATTATTATTATTTTTGCTATAGAAACAAAAATGATAACATGAGGAAGAAAGCATCTGTTTTATTTTAAATACCTGTGAATCAAATATTTAATTAATTTCTGCAGCAACATTGGGTTGATAAGACACATATAAAATAGATTTTGTTTTTCTGGTCATAACAGATTTCTGGTTGTCTTTGTGGTGTAAGCTGCCCTTATGATTTATTTGAATATCTCTTCTTCAAAGCATCTGCCTCAAACCCTTACCTGATCTTTGTCAAACAGGAAAGTGAATTTAAGTATAAGATGCATTTCTAGACTTCAAATTCTTCTTTTTTGATGAATTTATTGAACTGGGTCAACAAAATCTGTTTTTGTTTTTTTGTTTTTTTGTATTTGACCAGCTGATCAGAAAGAAAAAAATTAGATTTTCTAATCATTGGCTAGTTATTTAGTTTGAGACAAAGTTGCACTCTGCCTCAAACTAAATAAGATTTTGTAAATTTCAAACTATAACCATCACATAAACTGGAGCTTCTGTAGATGGCTTTCCTTCCAGGATCTAAAACTCATATAATATCTAAATTGAATTGTTCATCCATACTCATTCCCTCTGTACGAAACCAAAGACGGATCTGGTTTTATCTTGTGAGAACTTTGGATAAAAGCTTTCTCTGAACTTCCAAATTCAATCTAATGTAGCTTGAATATTTATTAACAAAAATCTGAAACAAACAACAAAAACAGTGGTGGTGGTTTTACGTTTGAATGTTTAATCTCCTAAATTCGCTTGATCTCACTGTAGTTCTCATTTTGTCCTGTAGAGGGCGGTGTTGTGCTGCATTCAGTCCTGTAACCCGGTGTGTCGCCCCCAGCTGACTTGTGGCAGCTCTGGCATGCTGTTTAAAAGCAGCCTAAAACAAGCTGCTGCTAGACTACAGCTTCAAGTTCCTATTTAGCACTTCTGTGTGTGTGAGGGAGTATTTTTGTTTGTTCAATTGGTTGCTATTTTTTCCCTCATTAATACATCGCTCTGTGCATACATCTACAAACTGCACTGCTTGTTATGTTTATGTTATATTTCTGCAGGTTACTCTGGATTCTGAGCTAACTGAAAACTCCCTATTTATTCACTTTTACACACTTTTACGTCCTGCTTATCTGTCTTATTTATCCACTCTCACCAGGAATGCTAAATCCTTATTTTGTGTAGAAACTACACTTCTTGCAGTAGATCACTTTTTGAGAAAGATGGAAAGCTCACATTTGGAGTCTATATATTATAATTATGCAGCTTAGAGTCTAAGTGGTAATTAGGCATGAGTTTCTAACTACAAAATCTTGACTAAAAAAAAAATGTTGTCCCAGTATCTCTGTTTTACACAAAAAAAAATGAAAACAAAAAAGTTTAATAGGATAACCACTTATTTATAAGAAAAAAAACACAATACATTCCTACTGCTTCTGATTTTTACGGTTCTATCAATGTTGCTGCTTTTAGCTGCTTAGTAGCTTTCTCGCGGCTTTAGAACAGGAGTCTTAAAACAGCTTCATCTTAATAAAAGTGATCATATTTTAAGTTTCCACACTGTGAATGTAAGAGCTTTTTACCTCTAAATATTTCTGAGCAGCCAAATTTGTCTTACTTGTAAACAAAGGGAAAGTGTAGCAGCCTTGTTTCAGCCAGCTGATGGTAAGGAACCCAGAAAATGGTATGGGAGCATTTTCTCTGGCTTAATAATAAAAGGGCTTTATACTGTATGAATGGTGCATCACGACGACCTTTTGGTAAATTGAGGGCGAACAATGACGTTTGGTTCCTGAACATGTGAATTTGATCCAAACATGCTTGTCCTCTAAATGTTGGATTTTATGTGTATCACTCAAGCAGTGCTGCGGTTTAAATCAGCTTGTTTTGATTTTAATTTGACAGCTTCTTGCGGATCATAAATGAATATCATATTGCTATATGCAGCCATTTTAAACTGCTGGCTCTTGTGGCTCCAACCAGCCCCACTAAACATTAAAAAGCCCTCGTACAAGGTGTGAAGCATCTTGATAGTTACGCTTGATCCCCCGTGGATTATTGGATGCAATGCATAGTATTTCCCAGCAGGGGGTGTGTGGTGATATCATAAAGTTTAAAGACCACTACGACATTTATTGACTGTTCTACTGAATCGCAGACAACTTCCTCTCCTTGTCTCATTTCTCATTGTTCACGTTTACCTTAAATTTGATGATGACGCCACGTTGCAAAAAATAATGCCTTTCCCATACTGATATTTTAGTCCAACACGCCCATACATACATCCACTCATTATATTTAAGTACAGTGGAGAACACACACACCGATGCAGAGGTTAGTGAGTGTGTGTGTCTCTCTGCTGCCCTTGTTATGTATTGCTGTTTATCCAGACAGGGTCAGCTCTTGCTATGGCTTCATTCCTGATGACAGATTTATGAGTGTTTGCCAGAAACCTAGCAGGGCGCCTGCTGTGACTGAAGCACCCTGTGTGTGTGTGTGTGTGTGTGTGTGTGAAGGAAGACGGCATGTTTTTTAAAACACACTCATTCACACCCAAAAAAAACACGGGAGTGTACTTGGAAAATATGGCGACGGGGAATTAATCTGTTTATCCTGCTCTTGTGCTTATTTATTTTCTCACTGTTGTGTCATTACAGATAAACATCAGATGGCTAATGTTTTGTTCACTGATAAGGAAAGAAAAGGTGTTGACTTTTTTTTTCTTTTTTCTGTAGGACAACCTGGCTTTAGCAGAAAGGGGAATTGTTTATTGTTCCGTTTATAAGGAAGCAAAGCTGAAACTGATTGTCTTGGTCGTCTAAGAAAAGGGAAATTCGGTTTTCTTCCTCTCTGAGGGAACAGTTACTGAGGACTTCATCATCCTTGTTTTGGATCCTTTTACCTACTCAGCCAAACATGATCTAAAAGAAGATAAAGTTTAGTTCCTCTTTTGTTGCCCGGCCGTCATTTCATTGTTTTTGAAAGGCAGTTCAAGGAAGGCATAACCTGGCAGGACTTCTGCTTTATTTTTAACTGCATGTTCTCATACTTCACAGTGAAGACACATAAAATAATTTGTTAGGAACAAATACAATATTTGATTACTGCAGGGTTTCTGTCCAGTCATGATGAATTAAAGAAATCTCAATTTCAGGTCTTTGAAATTTCTATAAATGCCACATTTTTCAAATCCCGGCCTGGACTCCTTCTGAATGGATTTTTCATGTTCTCCCTGTTCGTGCTGGATGAATATCATAGAAAAGTGAATTTATTTCAATTATTTAATTCAAGAAGTGAAAGCTGTTGCTTATAGATTCATTATAGATGGTGATGTACTTAATTCAGTTACTTGTGATAATGATTAACAGGGAGTGAAAACCTATAATTACATTTCTCAGAAAATGTTAATATGACATGAGAATAAAAAAAAATATATGTTATGTCAATGCAGTGGCCTACACAAAGTCACTGGCATAGTCTTCGAGAAAAACCACTTAAGCTGAAGGCGTGCAAATGGTTATACTCCACCATGTTAATGGAAAGTTGAGTGGAGGGAAAAATGTGGTAGAAAACAGTGCACACTAGCAACATGGAAATCGTAGCCCTTAGAGGACTACGTGAAAAGGTAACCCAGTCACAGAGCTTGGGATGTGGAGTGAGGCTGAAGTCAGCCTTTTAAGAGCATCACAAACAGACATATTGAGGACTTCACCTGTCACAATGCTTGTGTTAAGCCACTTCTATACTTCAGACTGTGTCAGAACAATCTTACATGTGTTTAGGAGGGGGAAAAAAGGACTGGATTGCTGTTAAAAGGTCCAAAGATCTCTCTTTAGATGAAGTTTACGTTTCATTTGTAATTCGAGGTCCCATAGTCTGGAGTTGGAGTGGAGAATCAGAATTGCTTTTGAAAGACGAGACACCAGGTGCAACATTGCAGAGAAAATTAAAGATACAAACATAGAAACATATGTTAGTACTGAATTAAAACTATTATGAATTATTTCATAGTAATACATTAATATTTAAAAAAAAAATCAGAAAATGAATTAGAATATTGACTTTTAATTAACAGCAATAATCACAATCATCTGAAAAACATATATTGCTGTGTGCTATAAAGTTATGTTGACATGTCAAAACCTGTCAATCACCAATCAGAGCTGATCAAAGAAAAATAATTTAATTGATGTATTAATAGTTTTAAAATACTTGACTACAATTGGTAGTGCCGGTGCGTCATATTCAGAGGATATGTGGTTCCCCTGGGTTCAGTTTCCAGTCTTGGTTCATTTGCTGCTTGTCTTCCCCCTCTTTCTTTTTTTAATAAAGGCCAACAATGCCAAAACATTAAAAAAAAACTTGTATCGGTTTATATAGTTTAACTTTAAATTGTCTCTAATGTAATTGATGTCTTCTTTGTAAATTACATCTGTTCCTTGATTACTTTTTCCAGTAAATCACAACAAAATGTCTAAATGCTTGACGGGTGCTAACCTATTTATGTGTAAAATTTTCTTGTGTTTTTTTACTCATTTTATTCATCTGATTTCATCTGAGTTTGTTTAAATTGGCAGACTTTACTGTGTTTAAAGGTTACTTTGTCTCTTGTGTTGCCCTTGACAAACTGGAAACTGTGTGTGCGCGTGTGTGTGTGTGTGTTGTCTATTGTGTCTTCACCCCTGAATATCTTATGTTAAGTTCTTTGTATTGTTTAGAAGTGTTTCGTGAAAGCTTTCATTACTTCCCACCTGCATGTAGTTTACTTCCTCTTTCTATGACGGCCGTCAGTTAAGTTTTTAGGGAAGTCTGTCTACGAGGAGAAGAGAGAAAGTTCCTTATGGCGCCCATGAGAAATGAGATGCTGTGTGATTAAGATACAAAGCTGGAGAGGAGGTCACCGTTGGGTGAAAAGGGAAGGTGGAGAGGCCACAAGCTGGAAACTTTGCGCCGTTGTGCACGTTATGTCTTTTAGGTCCGTGAAAGTCTTAATTGTTCAAGAAAACAGCAGGTAACAAACCATGAATCCCGCTTGCAACAGCGGGCTGACGGATGCCGCTAATTCCCCCTCTCCACCCACTTTTCCTCCATCCTGTTTCCTCCCTTCCTCACTCTGACAGAGCAGTAAGTGTAGCCAGCTCCACTGTACTCCCCCTGCAGCTCCTTAGACATTAATCCATTGTGATGACATCGACCTTGCTCTGAGACGCACACGCGTGTGTATGTCCAGCATCTCCCCTCCGGCTCATAACTACACAGGTATCACTGGTCCGTTCAATGACGATCTTCTCTCCTTGGCTGTCAAAACAGTGGTCCTGGGAAGCCCTAAAGACTGGTTGCTCAGTTAGCTGTGTGTGTGTGGGTGTGCGTGCGCGCGTGTGTGTGTGTGTGTGTGCCAGCGCATCCGCATATGTGAGACATTCAAGTTGTACCGTAGCCCTCTCCAACCTTGGCTGCAAAGAGAGCTGCACAGGGCCCCGGAGTTTTCCGGCAGCCTCCAGGAAACGAGGGGTCTTTGTCTAAAATGCACCCCCAGCTGAGGAGCCTGGTCCCTGGGCACACACAACTGTGACCCTGGGTCCCGGCCCTCTGGGTGACCAGCTCCCCTCCACCCCCCCCATCCCTCTGGAGAGTGGGGAAGAGGCAAGCTGAGCAACACATGAGGCCATCTGGTACCCAGCGGAGCCACCATACAGCAGCTATGAATGAATGTCACTCTCAGTATCGTTCAGCTGCGGAGTCCTGCAGCCTTCAGTAACGACGGCTGTCAGGCTGCTATGACTTCTATGAAATGTTCACCTATTGGAAGGTTTTGTAACCCTAACCCTTTTGCTTGGAAGACCTGATTGCTGGTGTTACAACTTCAATGTAAGATAATTTTGTCATCGTCAAGAGAGAAACCAATTATGAAACTTTGGAACATTAAACATATATTAATAATAAATAAATGTGATGAAACTAATAAGATACACTTCTTTTTTTTTCTTCAAATTAAAACCTTCCTCATTTTGTTGTTTGGATTTCAAATACAATTCATAAGAAATGAATCCATTTATATAAAACAGCCTGTATTTTAAGATTTCAAACGCAAACCTTACCTAAAACCATAGGGTAAAAAAAAAATGAAGAAAGAAAATGATGCACGGTGTTTTACTCTTACCATGTCTTTGTGTGTGTGTGTGTGTGTGTGTGTGTTGTATGAGAGTGTGTTTACGTTCGGGGTCAGGTCATGCAGATGGTGTGAAGTTGCAGCACAGACGGTTTCCTCAATTTAACTGCTTTTTATTATGCAAATTGCCCTTCAATGAGACACACTTGGAGTGTGTGTGTGAATAGGTTTGAGAAAGAGAAAAAGAGACTGTGTCCATTATTTGTGCTCATTTTATTCAAATTATATAAAGTAAGGCAAGAAGCAGAGCTTAAACCGAAGCCATTAAAAAATGAAAATACAGAAAATAACACGTCTTAGGATCAGTTTGTGTTTTGAATTATTTCAAATGTATACTTTCTCAACATGATTTTTTTTTTTTACCCTTTTATTTTATTGATTATTTCCATCTCTTCTTTTGCCATTGTCTTCAGAGGTGGGAGGGATCAGTGAGGAGACACCGTCCTGTGATTGGTGGAGTTTGGGCGCCATCCTCTTTGAGCTCCTGACCGGCACGGTGAGTCAAAAAAATATTGACTGTGTTCCTCAGGTGTTGTGGGATTTCTGTAGGTGTCTTGGCTTTCAGCTCTCACACACTCTTTATGGCTGTGCCAGGTGGTGTGTGTGATTCTGCACGCGTGTCTGTGTGTGTTTGAGAAGGTGGAGTTAGTTGGAGGGGGGGGAGGGAGGTGAGATTTGTGTGTGAGGTGCGTCTTGGCTGCGGTCTCTTACTACGCTTCTCGGGGAGTGCCAAAGGGGTGTCAGTGTGACTTTCTCCCCCAGCCTGAGCTCCATCTGCTGGGCCACTGGGTCAGCTCTCCCCGGTCCTCTCTGCTGGCTCCCGGAGCAGCGCTGGGCTCGGGGCGCGCTGACCTCAGATCAGCATGAAAGGTGAAGACCTGGGCAGCTCTCAGGATGCTGCAGCTTGTCTGGTCAAGGATCAGAGGAACCGTCTTTCAAGGAAGGCGTATGAGGAAATGAAACGTTTCCATAAATCGAAACACGCCTTTTTGTCAGCAACAAACTTTGCTGGGGTTACTGATATTTTGTGCGAACGATCAAAACTTAACCTCCTTTAAGTTTAGATAAAGGAGGTTAACTTAACTTAACCTCCACTGGAAAAAAAAAAAAGGCAAGTAGAACCAGGTGCCTTTAGAAGTCACTTGTGTGGACTAACCATGAACGCACCATCTCCACTGTGAGACATGGTGGTGGCAGCATCATGTTGTTCGGATGCTTTTCTTTATCAGAACATGAAATCTGATCAGAGTTTATAGATTAATGGATGAAAACTGAATTCACTCAGCAAGAATTATGAACTGCTGTTCATAGGCGCTCTTGATGGTTTGATTACTTTGTGTGGTTTTACCACATCGAATCTGATTAAAACACGTTGCAATTTGTCCTGGTAACACATCAAAATGTGAAAAAGACAATGTACAAAATTATCATTTGCAGATTCCAAATATAACCTTTTTACGAAGAACAAATATATCCACAGTGTCAAGTGCAGTCATCGAGTGCAGCTGCAGTGTCTTTTCTGTTATTATTCTCTACCTATTTTGAATAAATTCTAATTGTGCGTCGGTGTGTGTACCTGTCTGCTGTCCGTGTTGGGTTAATGTTATGTTTTAACAATACGCACATATTTACCTGGGTGGCAAAAAAAAAAAAAAAAAAAAAAAAGAAAGAAAAAAACCCCGCTACACAGATGTCTCCTTTGATGATTATGCCTTTGTGCGGCCTTGGCAGGAACACACACACACAGGCGCACACGGTGTCTCTTGATCCTTGCAGGATAAGATCTGGCCTGAAGCAGTCTTAACTGCTGGTAGGAACGCAGCCAGAAGTCCCGGAGCATCTTTCGCAGGAGAGAGAGAGAGAGAGACACACAACAGCTCTAACTGTTGGGGGGAAAATACACATCACTTATGGCTTTTACTTGATGCTTTGCTCCAGCATTTGTAGCTTTTTCGTTGCTGAAGCAGAGATAAGTTATTATTGTCAATTATGTTGACAGAAGGTCCATATTCTGCAGCTAAAAAGTCAAACTTTGAAAAACAACTTAAAATGCTCAGCATGAGTAAAGTACAACCTGACCAGAAACAATAATGTTTTTACTCTTTCTGTGACTTTCCCTCTGTCTGACTCCCACAACAGTTCCAAGAAAGACCAACAGCAGTGAGCTCATTAACCTGCTGTTTGCGTGATCAGTGTTGTTTCAGGTGCTCTGCCTGTCTGGTCTCCTCCTGTCTGTCCAGCTCCGATGCTTTACTGCTGACTTAGACTCTGCGGGTGTCGGACCGTTCTGTGTTTTACATTGATGGTTATCTGCCTCTCTTCTTTCCACTCCTGCCACCCTGTGCACAGTCGCTGCTGAGCTGCCATCCAGCAGGAATTGGCCGTCACACAGCTCTCAACATCCCAGAGTGTGTTTCAGGGGAGGCCAGATCTCTGCTGGAGCAGGTGAGAGGGAGCACCTACAACAAAACGAGGGTTCCCCCGACTCTAATAATTGATTTTACTTTTAGGTTGTTCTTTGTGGGGGGAAAATGTTGAATCTATATTCAATACTTCACTTTCGACAAATGTTCAGTTGCTTAACACAAATTGCAAATCGGTTAAGATTAATCGTTAAAAAAAGAAAAAAAAGAAAAACATGGTATGCTTGTTGGTACTATATGAGAATTTCCAAAACAGGAATGCACTGGGATTGTCTTTTTTATTCATTTAGTCATCTCTCAGGTTTATATGGAGAATGGTTGGAAAAAGAGAAAACAATCACTGAACTGCAGCTGTTTGGATGAAAATGCCTTCAAAGGAAAATGGAAAAAAAGGCAACAGTAGCTTAAATAAACACTCCTTACAACCAATGAATTATCCCCAAAACTGGATAATAACAGATTTGAAAAATGTTGCTTGGTTCAAACAGATTTGATTTTGACCACACCATTTGGATGCTGTGTTAAATAACCTGGGGGAAAAAAAAAAACATGCACCGACCACCAACAGCAGCTCAGGCACAGTTTGGACCAATTAGCTCTTAACTGAAGATAATTTCAACACCACAGCCTCCTTGAGTATCATCCTATAATATAATTCCTAAGGCCAGGACTTCAACACATTCATTTCGATTAATTAATTACATAAATTTTAATACTAAAAAATTAATGTAATCAATCACTTTTTCTTTGACTTGCAAGGGATAATTTTTTACAAAGGATATGGCTGGAAAGCCCGCAAATCTGACACAAGCGATCTTGCAAACAATCTTGCTAAGCATGGTGTAGTAAGCAGAGACGTCCTCAACATCGGTGTCCACAGTTCACATTTCTCAAGAACTATTTTTTTTTTTAAGAATTTACATAAAAGATCAGAGATTTCTGAAACACTTCAAAGCTGAATAGGAATAATATCTTTTTGCACCAAACTGGTGGAGGAATAACCTAAATAATAGATCTAAAACAATGCAGGATGTAACCTGGCAGCAGCAAACTGTGTCTAATGATGGGCCTAGTGAGTCAGTATTGTCAAATCTCGCTCCTCATCATACTTTTGGTTGTTTAGCTTAATATTATTTTCTGCTTTGAAAACAGACTAACATATTTCTATGAAACAAGTGTTTTTTGTTAATTACCTTAAAATAAAAATATATATATATATATATGTCTAAGCTTAATGTGATTACAACTAAGGAATAGTGTGGGGTGCTTTTTGTATGAAAACAAAAAAACAGGGTTTAATGACTTACCTTAAATGATCATCAGTGTATGAACGTTTCCAGACAGATTAAAGGCAGATAATGAAACATAGTCTCCTCTTGATGGACATGTCCTTAATAATGTTGCTGGCACCATGCTGATGTCTTAAAGCTAATTGCAAATCCTTAGAACTGCTAATCTTTAGATGTACGTTAATGTG